CTCCCTTCCAGGAAATAAGGAATCAATGATATATGCTTTTGGTTGATTTTTTATAGCTTTCTTTGGGTATCATCTTCTGTTTAAGATTTGGACTATTTGTGAGTTTGTTCACAGGATGTATTTTACTCTCTAACCGTGATCATGGTGGAAATGTGATACTATTTTCACTTCGTGTATGAAGTTAGTTAGTGCTATATTCTTTCATCTCTCTTAATGATCTTTTAAATGTATGTTGCAGCTTGAGGTTGAGTTTAAGAAATGCTAATTTACAAGCAAAGGCAAACATGAGGAAAGCTGCTCAAGAAGAGGTACTTTGTTTATTTGTATAGAAGATAAGTACCATTTAGCATGTCAGAATTATTAACTTGTCAACATCCTGCATTTTATCCCTTATTGTGGCTAATAGCTATAACTCACAAAAGATTTCATGCTGACATATGCCTTGATAGTGATGTCGAACCATGGAAATCTCTTACCAGCAATTTCTCCTCTTTTGGACCGATATTTGGAAAATGTGTCATTCTAAAATCTGCCTTCATATGATGTCAGAGGGAGCTTCTTTTGGGAGGTGGGGAAGAATCTACAGTTCGCAGACGAAATCTACAGTATGTGGTACCCTTTTAGTCTTTATGTTGTCATGGTTATATCCACTTTAAAAGTTCATATGTCTGTGCTTTTGAGGGCAGAAAAATCACAATGTTTCTTTCTAAATTATGAATCTATTTGCCAGAACAAAAGCTGGAATGACATCTGCAGCTGAAAGCATCACGGAGAGCCTGCGCCGCACTCGCCAACTTATGGTTCAGGTTATTGCCCTCTTTCTTCTATTTTCATTTGCTTGGTTTAAGGTCTTCTTTTTATTTTTTTGCCTGATGTATTTATTTATGAGCTTTTTATGTTGCATAACACTGCTTGTTCTCTTGTCCTTTGTAATATGCTTACAGGAGGTTGAAAGAAGTGCAAGCACTCTAATGACAGTTGGTAAGTACCTTTCCGTGTTTATGAATGACATTCACTCTTGTCATGCTATGTCTTTATTATTAGTTTATCTTATGTTTCTTCATCCAGATGACGTTTCTCTTGTCTTCTGTGTTGTTGTAACTTCTAAAAAAAGAAAAATTGATTGCATGAAATGGATGTTTAAGGAAGAGGTCATATTGAGATGAAAGGTTCTTTTCTTTTCTTTTCTTCTAAATTTCCCCCCTTTTCTCTTCTTCTCTTTAAGGGGGATATTATATATTTCTTTAAAGAATGGTGTTATAACGGAAGACACATCAAAGAATGCAGTTCTTCATACCATACAAAAAAGATGATAGGATTGCTTCTGGACATATGTTAGGAAGTGTATCAAACATTCTAAAGAATAAATTTTTTGTAGTTACAATAAAAACAAGTCCAGTTTGAAAAGTATTCTGTTTGCTTTTGAATAAATTTTACTTTTGTTACTTTTGATTATGCATCTGAAGTAGTGGAAAATAAAACATTGTAAGCCTCAATTTCAGATATATGCCATTTTTGTTGGCTAATCAAAGCTCAACTTACAGATAAGCATTGTTCCTTATATAAAAAAGATGAGTTAGGCCTTGTGTTATTTGGACTGATCACCCAGGTTATCTACTAGTCAAGTGCACTTAAATATGTTTACCTTACTGTAAAAGTAGCCCTATAGATTAACACTATCTGCAGTATAAAAGCTTAATTAATGGTTGTAAGGAAAAATATAACTAGAACATGACCAGAAAATACATTGATGTTATTCATTACATGACTCGATGGATCTACTTATCCAATGTGGTACGTTGTGCATGAATCGGTTTGGTTTCTTTGACGGGGCAATGATGTGTTCAAGAGATACACCTAGAGCTTTGTTATCCAATTTTTTTGTGATGGTGACTGCTTCCATGACTTTTGGATGCCATTCTTCATATCCTAAATGTGAAAAGTATGTAAGTCGAGGCTAGATGACAATGTACATATTCTGGATACTGCAGATGAATCAACAGGCGTATTAACGAAAGCCGAGAGTGAATACAAGGGCCACCGCTCCTTGCTTTCACGAACTCGGAACCTTCTGTCCACAATGCAACGGCAGGACATTCTGGACAGGTATCATGTGATAATGACTTTGTAAAATAACATTGACCTTTTCTTTGCACCTGTACTGCTGAGTTTATAATGCCATTGCAATTTAATTACGTTGTTTGGAAATGTATTTAACCTCAACTGCAACACTAACACAATCTGTGAACAGGGTGATACTGGTGGTTGGATTTATTATTTTCTCCTTGGCAGTGCTTTACGTGGTTTCAAAGCGTATGGGGCTGCTCAAGTTACAGCGTAAGCTCATTGAAGCTGTGAAGTCCGGTACAGCTGGACAGATGGAGATAATAGCTGGAGCTGGTAGACAAGGTGCAAATGTTGCTCAGGTTCAGATGAATCCTGTTGTACCTGAGTTAAATGTACCCTTAGAACAAGCTATGCATGATGAACTTTAAATTCTCTATAACTTTGTACATTTTCTTTGTTACATGCAATTTCATCTATGAAGCTTCATATCTTGGTTACAAGAAATCATATATTCGTTTGTTTCCTTTATTCACAGCTAGCGTTGATCCTTCACCGGTTATATGTTTTTTGATCTTGGTATTGTAGAGACAGATAAACAGTGTATGCCCAGTAACTTTCAGAGAATACATGTACAATACTTTGTGTGTTCTTGCACTTTGACATTACATAAGCCTTCCCAGTGATTGTAGCAGAATGAAATGACATCTATTCCTATTTTATATCCACAAAATTGACAAACAGCAACTCTTTTGTAGATAGAACCAAATAAAATAGAGAAGTATATAGAGTGCAAGCCATTCAGTACCAGAAAAAGGAAGATGAAACTATACCAGAAAAAGGAAGATGAAACTATCTTATACATGTAAAAATTAGGATTATGCTAAGAGCCAGAAATTTCTATGAGTTTTGGTATTGAGAAGATATCCTGCTGTTTGGCCCTTCTTCTGAACTGCAACACAGGTGCATTTGCTGTTGTCAATCAAATAATCTGCCATATCCAGCCCCAGCCCTCTTAGTGATACACTTCTTTTAGGCCTGCCACACAAATGCAGGATGATTCATATTTATTCAACCGTAAAACGAAGAAATAGAGGAGGTTTGTCTCTGTGTGTGTGTGTTGGGGAGGGAGGGGCTTCATTGTCGTATAGGGGCGGAGCTGGTCAGATGAACACCCTTCGTTGGAAAATATTTCTGAGTATATAGGTTAAATATAGATACTAATAATCACCCACACCCGTCCTAACAGTATGAACACTCTTGACGAAAATCTTGGCTTCGCCACTAGTCTTGGACTTTTAGTTGTCTGATCACACTCGAAAATATGTATTTATTTGTTATCTTTTTACATGGGTGCACGGTTTGAAACTCAGTGGATTATATGATTCCATCCTTCTACCCTTTCTTCTTCTAAAATACCCCAATGGCTGAATTTAAACTCGTGATGTGTGTCTAACTCACACATTGTGCATTATACGACTCATTTTGAAATTAGATAATATGATAAGAATATAAACTCACCGTAGTATTACGTTAGAAAGACTCCTTCTCTGACCTATAACAAGAATATCAATACCAAAAGATGCAGATTTAGCAAGAATGACAGTAGCTTTTTCCTTTGCATTACCATCCATTTCCACTGTCTCTGTACAAACTTTTATCTTAGGTTGTGCAACTGCACATGCATGTTTCATTGTCCCAAGAAAATTCATGTATCCCTTTCCTGTGCACCCTTTGACATCACCACCGTCTTCCGCGGCCGTATGAGAGGCCGCGGACGTTGGCTGTGGTGATGTTGTGTTTGCCAATGACTTTCTAAAGAAAGTACTGAACGGACTACTATCGGATGGGGACGTGGATGTGGATGTGGATGTGGACGTGGACGAGTTTGGCAATGGCTTTTTTATCAAGGCACCAAGGAGATTCCTCCATGCATTAGGATTACCAACATGCAGAAGAATCAACGTGTCATTTTCCGCGACTGCATGGGAAAGCGTGTATTGAAGGGCGGAGGCTGATTCACGGGTTGGATCAGCCACCACCATTATTTTCTTAGTTGAATTCTTCCCATCTGCCATAATATGGTCTCTGGTCATTATTATACGCGAACCGGGCCCCACCACTAGCCGCCCACCGCCCACCGCAACCCGTAAAACGTTGGTTTTTCTACCTAATGATAATACCAGCGTTTGTGGGAATGGTAGTGGAACGGTAAACAAAGAAGAAAACAAGAATATGAGGCTGCCATAGGGTAGTTTTTTTTTGTCTATAATAAATTGTGATTCCTAAAGTTAATGCCCTTTTTGTTGTTTCCAAATGCCATTAGAAAGACAAAATGAATGTCAACCTCTCAAGGTTGAAAGGATAATAATTTTTTGTATTTAACTTATTATTGATATTAGATAATTTTTTACAATGTATTAGAATATTCTTCCTATTTTGAAACACTAGGTCTTTAGGAAAATCAGGCTAGAACCACAACATGCAAATTCTCAGGAAAAAATTGCAAAAAATAGTATATCGTAAAGGGTGGTCTTGAATTTTTAACCTCAAGATAGTATGTGTAGAAAATAGTGTAATGTGTTGCCTATTAGCATAAGTTTCAATTGTATTGACTAACGAACAATTGAACAATACAAACAACTTATTGAGATTAAGCGGATCAAATTGGACGGGTCAAGACCCAACCCAATTTCTATTTCAACTCATTTTAATATCTCCAATATCAACCCAACCCGCTCATTTGGCACCCCTACTTATGAGGCTGAACTTGTTGCCAATTGAGCAAGTTCAACGTCTCTGATTTATTGAAATATCTCAAACTCTGGGCTCATAAGCAAGCTAAGCTAATTTATGCTCACAACTTATGTGTAATAGGCAACAAAAGTTATTAACAAAAAGGACAATCCATAGTGAAGTGTATGCTTTAATTACACTTTAAGGAAGAAGGTATCAGCTGCAATTGCATTAACAATTAGCTTATTCTCCCCTGATGCTAGTACATAAATCATAACTTTGGTAGTTCGAAAATATACCATCGTTGTTCTTATTAAGAACTAGTCCAAAAAATGTCGAAAATAATGACCTATCCTAACTCTGCTAAATTTCTCTACCTCAGTTCTGATGATCTGCAAATGATCTGAAAGCTCTTATCAGGTGCTTCCACTTGTTGGCGATATCAAGATTATCACCAGTTAATATCGATTCTTCATCAGTAGCCAATCGCTGAAATCACATTGCAAAGATGGTAACAGTCAACATAAGCAATAAGATAGAGAGGGAAGCAAATGTCTAATTATGCATATATGAATCAGGAAAAGAAAGAACTAATCGGAGTTTGTACATGATCAGATGACAGCCAACATCAGCTTTTGGCATTTAATTTCTCTAAAAGGATTTTGTTCAAAAGTTTTGGATTTGCTTTGCCTTTCGATTCCTTCATCACCTAGCAATCAGCACAACAATGTGAAAAGTAATAGTCAATAGCCAGCACGATATGAAAACAACAAACTTCAAAGACTGAAATGAAAACATACCTGGCCAGCAAAATAACCTTGCAATTTAGTTTTACCACCACGGTATTGTTCCAGCTGCTTTGGACTATCTGCAATCACCTTATCTACCATTTTCTCAATCTCCGCAGTGTCAACAATCTGTTTATTCAAAAATGGGAAAGTACATTAGATTCCTTTAATAATAAATATGCTTCAGTTACTTAACTGGTTTCGAATTGCCAGTCGTGTAAATCGGTAACAACAAACACTTCTTTATACAAATTATTAACATCAAGAAACATTACCACAAGGGCAGTCAGTCTGAATTACACATGGCTCACTTAGGTCAAGATGTTTCCAGACAAGATAGCTATTCGAGGCAGCATAATTGAAAAACATATTCACAGCTTGACACGCTTCAGAAGATAATTTTGGGAAGTTTTAACCATGAACCTTTTCTTGATAGATAAGTAATGGTAAGTTTTAACAGTGATGTGTATGCTATGAGCAGTAGATAATCCGTACAGTTCATGGAATCAGGTTAATGGAATTGTGCCGAGGCTTTTATCAAACTGAGACAATGAAGGCTTAACAGCATTTGGTTTTTAAAGCTGATACCACAATAATACCAAAATTTTCATCTACAACTTGTTATAATTAGGTTCTACTACGCAAATCGTGAAACCTTGGAAGTAAGATTAAGTATCAACACATCAGATAATTTACACAATCATCAAGCAATCTAAAGTTAATAGGCTCAGTGTCTTTGTGGGGTCAACATTCATCGTCAAGTATCTTTATTTGTAGTTGTTTCATGATCAGCTTCCTTATCCAATCAAAGGGTCTCTAAATGACTACGATTCAGGTGACATGGGCTATGATTTTAACTCTATCCATCAGAATGAGAGAACAGAGTCATTGGTGACAGGTGATAAGTTAATGGTCTTGAAAGTTTATTCGAGAATTTTTTATTTGAGATTTAAAAGAATCCAGTTCAACAGATGATTATAAAGCTCATCAACAGAACAGTAAAATCATTTTACTATATAATTATTATAACAAGAGAAAAATACTAGAGTTCTTGCAATATTGCAAGCCGACTTGCCTGAATCAGATCCTTTTCTTTTATCAGTCCCTTGACTGTTCCACCCTTGGCGATTAGCTCAAATAAAATCTGTAAAGTTCAATAACAATTGATCGGTCAGAAACATAATAATTGAACAGAGTGGATCAAAGTAAAGCCAATGAAGAAAGTGACCCATTAGCTTATATTATGCATTTCTAAAGAATGCTACTGATCATGCACAAGTGATACTATTTCCCTCTCTTATATGCACACATCCATGCACATATTAAGATGTATCATCAAAAATAATTCATGCCAAACTAGTCATGCCGGAAAGACTCTTGATCAGTACGGATTTCTCACACTCAAACAAAAGCTTATGATTGTCACAAAGTCCGGTACAACAATAAACTGAAGTTACAGAGAGACTACATTGCTGCTAACATAGGGACTCTTTTAAGTGGCCTCTATAGCAGATCTCATCAGTCGTGACTGTCTGAAGAAGGTATATGTTAAATTCCTGATATATGTTCCATCTTCAGTTATAATGTTTCTAAAACATTGTAAACCAAAGCATCAACACCAATAAGAAACATCGGGCAAGATGAGGGAAGCAGACTGAGATGGTTCGTACATGTGAAGAGGAGGTGCGAGGATGTGCCATTAAGGAGGTGCGAGAGGTTGGCTGTAGCAGGAGTTAGAAGAGGTAGAGGTAGGCTAAAGAAGAACTGGGGGGAGGTGATTAGACAGGACAAAGCACAACTTCAGCTGACTTAGGACATGACCTCAGATATGTAGGTCGAGGATAAGGATTGAAGGTTAGTAGGTAGATGAGTGATGTCGCATTCTGTGTGGGGGAGGGACTGGGCTAGTTTCCTCCTCTCCTTTTAGTATTATTATCAATTAACGCATAGTTTCTTATTCTTCAATGTGTATTACTATCTTTTGTTACATTTTTTTGTATCTTGCTACTTTGTTGTCTCTTTTCTCACTATCCTGCGTTGGGTACCTCTCTAACTCACAAAGGTAGGGGTGAGTTCTGCATACATCCTAGCTCCCCAGACCCACTTGTGGGATTACATTAGGTATGTTGTTGTTGTTATATCAATTCCTGGCTTCTCAAAGACAACATGGACTGCAACCAATTGAAGGTCAGTGATTCGCAGAAGAATTAAGAAGCCTAACAGATAGTTACTTGTGACTGGACAAACCCCCAACCTCAACACACCCAAAAATATTCTAAATGGTGAAGAAAATCAGCAAAACAAAAATTCTATTAATTATGTATAGGAAAACCATAAGATGTGAAAAAATAAAAAAAAATATGATGTGATTTCAATCATAACAAATTTAGTTATATCAGCACCCAAAGTGCTATTACCTCCTTCCCAATCTTTCCGCTGATAGTCTCATCTTTAATGGAAGCTATGAGCTCCCCCAGTTCTTGAGGGGTAAGTTTAATCTCATTGATAGTCACTTTTTCATTTTTCATGTACGCAGCAATATCTCCCATAATCCAATTGGCAGCAAGCTTTATATCAGCACCTCCTGCAGTTGTTGTATCAAAAAAATCTGCAATCTGAAACATGCAATTATCAGTGGTTTCTGGATATTTCTACAAAGAAATAATGGGAAAAGCTGGGAAAGGCCTGATTATGCAAGCTAATAGTCCAGAAATTTTAATAACAGGATGATGATGTCTACTTTAGGGCTCCTTTGAAGACAAACTTGATAGGGGAATCCATCCATGTTAAACCATTAAGTCAATGAAAGGATGGTAGTGTTCTTGAACAACACCATCCTTCCCTTCACTTCACTTCTATTCCTTTACTTATCCAAGTTCCCACCCTCTTCTCACCACCACCACCAACCCACCCAACTTTGGTCTCATTGGGCCATTGGAAGAGAAGGAGAAGGGAGAAGGTAAAGTAGATATTTCCAAGAGGCATTCAGCTAAATGGAATGTGTATCTAAAAGTCAAATAATGCTTGTCCTTTTAGATGCTTAATGATTTAAAGCATCATATTAAATTTCCGGCGAGAAGCACTTCATGCACAGGTTAAACCCTTACAAAATAACATCAGCTTGATAGATTTTAGTACTGGAGTGTCCACGTGCCAGTAAGGCAGTATAAGCAGAACCTGATGATGAGAAGCACTTACATTGATGTCATTGGCAAGAAATAGAACATCTTGCATGCTTAGGCCCATTTTCTCGTACCTCCGACGCTTATCTTCTGGAAGTTCAGGCAATGACTCACGGATACTGTCCACATACTCCTCGGTGAGAGTAACTCCAGGAAGATCAGGTTCAGGGAAATAACGATAGTCAGCAAGTCCTTCCTTTTTTCGCATGGTTACTGTTTTCTAGATGTATGAGAAAGTTAAAGCATATAAGTTTTCCATGGAAAGACTTGAGTAAACTAGTCTGACATACTGCAGTAGTATCAAAAAGTACAGTTGCATACCTGAGCACCTTCCTCCCATAGACGAGTTTCCTGTACAATTTGATCAATCTGGCCTTGGTTGTGTAGTTCCACCTGTCTTGAAATTTCATAATCAATGGCCCTACTCATCGATGAGAAGGAGTTCAGGTTTTTAATTTCAACCTGAGACAAGATAAAATATATCAGTTCATTATATAGAATGCTGACTTAACAATATGCAACTTAAACTAAACACTCACTGCTGAGAATTTCCAGAACAAAGTAAAGCAACAATAAAGAACTAACACCAGATGAAGTAGAAACTTGATCCATAATGTAGAAGAAACAATGTAATTGACATGAAAGTTGCGAAAATGGGGAAATCATGGTCACTCACTCACTCTAGCGACAATTACAAGGACAGCTAACTTAAAGTCTTGAATGGCATTTAATATGTATTTTGAGGAATTAAGACAAAAATTTACATGCTAAACATGTCTCCAGTTTCAAATTTGTCAAACAAAGGCAGTTTCCACCAAATGAAGCTGATATTATGTTCATCAGAATATGAATACTGGGTTTACAAAACTTGGCATGCAATATAGACTCCTCTAGGACCTACCATAGACCACATTTCACATTCAAATGACAAGTACAGTCCCTTACTAAGTTTAAGGCTAAAGCAAGAATTTCATAAATGGCCAAACTGGACTTACACCTGCCTCTAAATTAAGTTGTCCATTGGCCTGATTATATAGGAGCCATTCTTTGTGGTGCATAGATGAACAATGGAATAGGAGCCAATGTATCACTTATAACACAAAACTTACCGAACTATCCACCCAGAAGAATGGCAGAACAAGATAAGACAGAAAAACATCCACAAAGGAAAGCAAACTAGAATTTAGAATCTTCATGCCTGAATTGTCTAGCTATAAATTAGTATTTCCTATGCACAAGGGAAAGCAACAGATATGTAAAGCACATCATGCAAACCTTTGTACCAAACTCTAATTGCCCAATAGGACGAACTGAAATATTGACGTCGCAGCGAAGTGATCCTTCTTGCATGTTCCCATTACCCACTCCCAAATACCTGACCAACCTTTGCAATTCTGCAGCATATTCTGCAGCTTCAATACCAGTTCTCATATCTGGTTCAGATACAATTTCTAACAATGGGACTCCAGCCCTATTTAAGTCAACCTGTATCAGAGAGCCAAACAAATCAACACTTGCCTAAACTTCACAATAAATACTTTATCAATAGAAGCAACAAGTATGTTAGATCAAATAATCTAACTCTATTCATGCACATATACAAACTAAATCACCATAAATTGATACAAACATCAATGGCCATAACATTACAATGTGATGCATCTGATAACTATAAGAATATGCTATCTGAAACAAAGGGTCTGAAAATAGGAAAAAAAAATGGTGAGCATAGGAATGTTTAAATGTGAAGGAGCTCTTTCCTGTGAGTAGCTCCCACCGTCGGTATGAAGCAGCTTCCCTGCATCTTCTTCCATATGCACCCTGGTAATGCCAAACTTTCTATGGCCACCGCCATACTCGAGTGGAAGATCCACATCAAGATAACCACCACTAGCAATTGGGACATCAAACTGTGATATTTGATACCCTTTTGGAAGGTCAGGATAGAAGTACTGTTTTCTATCAAACTTGGAATTCAAAGACAGTTTACAATTAAGTGCAAGGCCAACTCTTACTGCACACTCTATCACCTTTGAGTTCAACACTGGCAATGCACCAGGCAAACCCATACAAACAGGACAAACACTGGTATTTGGTGGAGAACCATAGTTATAAGGGCAGCTACAAAAAGCCTTAGTAAGAGTGGAAAGTTGAACATGGGTTTCTATCCCAATAACTGCCTCAAAATCCTTCAGAAATTTATCAACTGCTTTCGGTTGGCTTTGTGTGGAAACTTTCAACTTAGTCTGTTCCTTTTCTTGGGTTGCAGTTTGTGTCTGTGCATTTCTCATACAACAATACAAAACACCATGTTTTCTTGCAAAATATGAAGAAGGGTATAACATAGACGGGTTAAGCTGTATCCCTCTAAGGAATGTCAATGCCATCTTACTATCAAAACAAACACACTAAATTTATGCCTGCAAATCATCAAACACATATTCAGAAGCTTCAAATTACTACCTTTTTTTTTTCAAGAAAATGCCTTAAAATGTATAAAGATTGAAACTTTAAGCTGAAATTGATAAAGAAAACTGAAAATAGAGAATACCCAGGATTTATCTTGGACCAAAAAGCTTCAGCCACTGATGAAAGTCTCATACACGAAACATTTAGAAGAGGGGCCAAGATTTTACTCCAAAATGGTGCAAAGAATTGATTTTTGAACTGTAGAGAGATGTACACAAGAAATTTAAGCAGCTTCTATGGAGTATGAGCATAGAAAAATTGAAAGACTGTAGAAATTCGAACACTCGAAAGAGAATTGATGAAGATAAAGAGAAAATCAAAAATCACTCAATTCATTTTCTTAACAGTTTTAAGTAATGTATTTATACTGTGAGAAATATAAACATCAAGTGGTCGTGCCGGAGTGGTTATCGGGCATGACTAGAAATCATGTGGGCTTTGCCCGCGCAGGTTCGAATCCTGCCGACCACGTCTGTTTTGTGTTTTCCCATTTTGTTGTCTTTTCATATCTTTTAGACGAACGGATGATCATGCTAATAATATTTTTTTTTAACCGTGGTGTAGCGAGGAGGGGTGGATCATGGATGCACTACTAAAGTTATGATTTGTCATTGCGAAATCACAAACTTCAAATTATTAATTCACTTCTACAGATAAACTAGATGGACAGGTGATCATGATAAATATATGTTTTTTTATCACGGATTTAGGTATCATCTTTTTTATCTGCTTCTTACTTGCTTCCAAATATACCAGCAAGTTCTTTTGTTGCTCATTTTGCTATATTTATTGGTTACAATCTTGATTGGTGACAAAATAAAATATGGGATAAGTTGCTAAATGACATATTTATATGTACAATTAACAAGACACACTGAGGTGGACTATTTTAACTTGTTATAGCGGCCTGCACTATTTTCTATGTTACTTATATAGGATGATTACTTGCAATTATCTTTTAGATGGCCTATAGTTTTACAAACTGTTTTTTACATTCAAAGTATATAGAAATTAAACTCAAGTAAGAAAAGAGATATTAGAAAGAACATAAAACTTCTAATTTCTCATTTCATACTACAACAAGTGTGGCATGATGCTCTTTTGGTCCAAATAAAAAAGAGATAGACTATTAGCCAGTGACGGAACTAGAATTTTCACTAAGAAAACAGTAAGCACACGAGAAAGTACAACATCTTCCATCTTTACTCTTATCAGAATGTCAAAACAAGAACTTTAAGCTGAAGGGAGATGACAAAATTCAGATCTGTGACCCCCTTTTTCTCTCCAGTATTAGTGGAACGTCCAGGCAGAAGCAGAGATGATTGGGGTTCCTTTCCAACTGATAACTAGCCATTTTCCATCCAGCTCAAAAGTGCAGAATCCGCGGAACTTGGGCAGCTCAAACAGTAAACTTGCTTGGCATAAGGATGAGTGGCTCAGTTCTGTTTCCACCATATGGAACCTGGAAAACAAGTCCCTCCACACTTTAAGATCCCCATAGCGAGGAACGGTCTCTTCTCCATGATATGTGATCATATTTCTGATGATTTTTTGTATGTAAAATCCTCCAGATATTGCTACACCCTTGTGGTAAACGTCAAAACAATCAGCAACAGCACTGAAGTGTGTTAAAGACTCGTCGAAAGAATCTATAAATTTTGGTAAATTTGTGTTTGCTAATGCTTCAATGACCACCATTATGCAAGGGTCAAGGCTTCTAATAACCTCCATCATAGATTCAAGTTCATTAGGCCAAGCTAACATAGTCCAAAGAATTGTATCTGAGTAAAATGCAACGACTTCATCAGCCTCTACATCGAAGGAATCTGACTTAAGATTCTTCAGGTCTGAAACAACTGTTTTGAAGCAAAAAGATACATTTACTAATGTCTCAGCAGCAAAAGCTGACAATCTCCTCCCTACATCTTCCATCATCCTTTTGGACCTTCCAACAGCACTTATTTTGAGATGCTCGAGTGGGCATTTATCTAGATCAGCAACAACTTGCATAAACGTTGTCCAGTGTGATCCACTTTTTATAGCAAGATCAATCAAGTGAACCCTTTTTGCTGTTATTGTACAATCTAAGATGGCTTGTATTCCAGTGAATTTAGTCGCTTGGCGGTAGGCATACAATGGCCTCTTTGCAAATTCAGCAGGTTCAAGATCCATGATAAACTCTTCCATCTCAATAGAATATACTTCAATATCTTCTTCTCCAGTAAATAGCATTTTCCCCATCTCTCTATCAATTCTGTGTTGAAGAGCATCAGCAAAATAATACACGATTTTCTGGACCGGAGTACCAGTAGCAGAAGCAGACTGGTTACACAAGCTTAGCAGCTTTCTAGCACGATCAAATGTTCGAGTTGCAACCAGTTGAGCAGAAGCTTGAAGTAGTTCAGCTAGGTCCAAATCCTGCAGTAGTTCAGGAGAAAGGCCAGAATTAGCTGTAAGGGGATTGAAAATGATGGAATAAGGATCAAATTTCTGTGAAATATGATTGAGTAATCTTTGTTTTGCTATTTTCATGATGGTCGGAGCCGATAGTACAAGAGATCCAGAAGTGCCACGTGACAATTGAAAACTTGACTCATTCAATCTTTGTCTAAGAGATCCTTGTCTTCCTTCAGCATGATCACTACATTGGTTGGCTTTCTTCTTATTTCTGGCATGACTAGAACTAGAATCCATGATTCACAATTCTTGTTCAAATAGTATCTGGAACCTTTACTTTTTATTTAAAGCACCTGCATTGGGAAAATGCTTGAGAAGAATAGTCCTGTCCTGGCTCCGGATGATCTCTGACACCATGCTTAGCACATGCAAGTCGTAGGGAAAGTGGTATTTCCAATGGTGGACGGTTGAGTAATACGTAAGAACCTGCTCTTGAGAGGGGAACAACAGCTGGAAACGGCTGCTAAGACCTGTGGACAGAGGAGCAAAAAGAGGAATCTGCCCGAGGAGGGTCTTGTGTCTGATTAACTATTGGTGAGGCAATAACTTACCAAGGCGATGATCAGCCACACTAGAGTCAGAAAATATGTAGAAGTAGACTTTTTAATCAGCATATCCACTTCACACTTTTTTTCAATGAAGAGCATATTCACTTCACACTTTTTTTTCGATGAAGAGCATATTCACTTTACACTGACTTATAAGCCTCTGAATTTGTTTTTTGGGAAAATCCTTTCTTGTTCTATCCTCAATGAATCAACAGAAATGACAAAGAAGAAATCCAAGAGCAACAAATATGTCCATTTGATATTTTACTATGTATATAAAGAGACAAACTTATAAAAAGGCTAAACCTCCATCTAAATATTATCTCTTAAAACCGGCCTGGCATAAAAGAACAATATCAGAGGTTAAAGAAATGACAAAAATAATCAAGCAAGAGTAAACATTAGTAAAAGAAGAATTACACTAGAAATATGGAAAACAAACAGGATTTAAGTTCTATGTACTGATGAAGTAAAAACTTACATGATCAAGTCACTTATAAGGTAAATCTCTAGATAAAGATAAATCAATAACCTTGTAAAAAGAGGTAAATAATTTCCCATGACAGACTAAATTACAATGATAGTGATAAAAAAAAACTTGCCATAAAAATCAATGTGCAGCAGACCCTCAAGACAAGAGATAAGGAACTGTGAGGACGGCATAATCAAATGATTAGACTTTTTTTAAGTAGATAGCCATAGTTTTGCAGAATGACACAGCTGTCTTAAAGCATCCTGCACTAGTATTAACACATGAGACGAAAAAAAGCTTTTCGAATAGCCCCATTAGCCAATAATCTTTTCAATCACATCATCCTAACTTTTGCTAACTTTAAAATCTGGTTATGGTAAACAACAAGACTTCTCTACTTGACTGCAAAATCAAGAGAGGCAGAGCAATTAACAAGAGAAATCACACAAGACTTTTATCAAACAGGGTTATGGAGGAAAACAAATAGATGGGAGAACTCATGATTCACCCATATCTCCTACAACAACAATATATCCAGTGAAATCCCACAAGTGGAGTGTGGAAAAGGTAGAGTGTACGCAGACCTTATCCAATAAAATCTCACAAGTGGAGTCTGGAGAAGGTCGAGTGTACATAGACCTTATCTATACCTCGTCAAGGTTGAGAGGTTGTTTCTGAAGGAGCCTTGGTTCAACTTTCAAGTGCAGCAAATCCAAGTAAAAAAGAAGAAGAGAACATAACAACTAATAAGGAAAGCAATGCAGAGCCTACAAGAAAGGAACAATAACAACAACACAATACGTAATCCCACAAACAAGGTCTAAGGAGAGTAGTGTGTACGCAGACTTACCACTATCTTGTGAATACATTCCCTCATCAATCAGCTCAAATAAAGCATAGCAAAAGGCAAGCATGTAAAAGAAATACAATAGCAAAGAAACCATACTGAAAACAATTAAGAAGTGAACAAGTAGCAACAACAATTAATCATAATCACCACAACACTTCATAGCTTATCTCAATTTGAGTTTCGACATAATAACCAAAATATACTCCATACAAAAGTTATTCAGCTCAATAAAATCTACTCAAATTGAACAATTACATGCCATCTTCTTTGGGTGTCTTAGCTACTATAGATAGAGCATGTAAACCAGATTGGAATTCATCAGTCAAGAGATCATACACCATACGGTGACGTTTAACAAGATTCTGTCCATCAAATTTGTTGGACACAATTTTGAGATTGAAATGTGTCTCGTTTGTTCCTGTTTCCCTGACGGCGGCATGACCGGCATGCTGGTAAGAAACGTCTTCGACTTCAATTAAGTTAGCTTCAAGTGCTGATTGTAGCCTCGTCTTCATTCTACTTGCCCTCGACAGAATCCCTCGTGAGGCCATGCTGAACCCTAATTTCTTCTCTCTTCTCCGTTGAGCTACGCCACCGATCTCCTACAAATAATTACTTGCTTAGGGGTTGTTTGGGTGGTGCAATTATCGGAATAATAATATCGGGATAAAATTACTAATTACTCCTTTTGTTTCAATTTCTTTTTTTGGTTTAATCTGTTTTAATCTCTTGTAAGTTGTAACTCTTTAATTCTAATTATTCATTCGATTATTTAACTTCATAAGATTGAAGAACATATTTACATATCATATTATAAGACTTTTTTAAAAAAATAATTATATTTTAAGTTAAAATTAGATAAACAAATTAAAAAGAAGTGATTATTTTATTTTGTGTTTCATTATAGTCTTTTTTTTTTTTATGATAAGGAAAATACATAGCCGCTATTTTTGGCGTGCATAGAATAAAATTCAACTCTTATGCAATAGCTTGCAAATTACACAAGAGAGAGGATAATCCACACTAGGCAAGTTCGATGCAGCGAGCTCGATTCAAAAGACAAGCCTCTTGTTTTTACAGGCAAGAAGTTTCAAACTTAAGCTCTGTGACACGGAAGTGCCAAATCTAAACATGAAACTTGATTATAGTCTTAATAAATATTAATTAGTATAAGAACTCATTTTATTCCATTTTAATGAAATTGACTATCACAGAAGGTAGGATAGTTAATTTCATAATATAGTTTTGTCAATTTCATCTCAATGATCAATATTAGTTAAATTACTTAGGGATCGTTTGGTTATCGAACTATTCAAATCAACGGAGTCATCCCGAGTTTTTATTATTTTAAGATCCCAAATCAGTAATTTCCAATTTATGAGAAACTTCCATTTAGCAAACACAGTTGGTAAATCAAGAACCTTACTTTTTTTCAGCTGAGGATTGAAAATGGAGGTGGTACATGTACAACATCGGTGGAGATTAAGGTGGTCGTTCAAGAATGCCACCATTATTGTCACTTTCTTCAATATAATTGCTGCCCTTTTTATACTTCATAGTTTCTTCTCTTCTTCATCTTCCACCACACCATCTTCAGGTTCCCATCTCTTCTTGTTTTTTTTTCCTTTAAATTTGCTTCATTTTTAGGTTAAAATTGTGTTTCTTTCTGTTTGACTTTTCTGGGTTTGTGCTTAGGGTAGCAATAGAAAACATAAATTTTGAGAAAGTGCATATATGATAGAGATTTTTGCTGTTTGATTAAGAAATGTAAAAATGATTACTTTGAACTGGAATTGCTACATTTGCTGATCTAATTGAGTGTTGAACTTGGAATTTCAGAAAGGGGAAGCATAATTGAGAGTATATGAGATTAGGATTTAGGAAAGTTACTGACTTTCTTTTGTATTCCCTCTAGTACAAACTAATTAGTGAGATTTCTTGCTTAAATAGCACAAAATAAGGTTTCTTGTAAGTTGCCATATGACCCTTTTTGAGTTTCTGCAACCCCTTTTGGTATGGAAGTGATCCTAATTTTATCTGTCATTTTGGTGGTAAAATTGGGTGATTACTTGGTAACCTCAGTCAAAAGTTGCATTAGCTTTGTCTTTGCACCAGCTTATGATTCGATGGAAACAAAAGATATCCACTTCCTTCAGAATCTGTTAAGGTAGTGGTATACTGGCTGCAACATGAATAGTAGGGCGCCTTATGAATGAACATGATGGCAAAAACATTTATTTTTATCCAGAATAGCATGGTCCGGTTCCTGTTAGAGGACTCTTCCCGTTTCCCTCCTGCGTATCAAAAACAAAGGTGGACTTGTAGATAGACAGATTTGCTCTTTAAAAGTTGTTCTAGGATATTTCATTTTCTAGTCAAATAACTGTTGCAGGATCACCTAACCTAGTTTTGGTAAGAGAATGGCTAATATGGCATCTTACTGTTTGATTTGCAGTTGAAAGGTATATAACGGAAGCAGAAGAGATTCGTCGTGCTATGTTACCTGTGGAGCTAATTAAAAGAGTAGGTACCTCCTTTTTCCTATTGTTTGGTTTTAGCTGAATAATTAGGATGTTGTGCATCAATAGTATTAGTAATGTTTTGTTTTCTATTTTGTGTGACTTTTGGAGAATATAATATCTTCTGTCGTTATAGGTGAAGGAAATTCAGAAAGAAGGTCATGTCGAACCAGATCCTCTCCAACAGAAGGATGCAAAGCAGACTGCTGCAGTAGACCTCATATCTAGACTGAACAATTATCGGTCTTATTCTGATTCAGGCAGCGTTAAAGGTAAATATCAACAACCCTCTGGACACTCTTTATCTTATCTTTAGACACAAAAAGACCTCTATAATGCTTAGCCTCATGGTGAGTCCGTCAACAATGTCTTCTGCAGCTCTTGGAAGCAGTAAAAGAAACTTTTTGCTCAATTAAATGGCATAGCAAGCTTCAGTCAATTGTATATCTTCTAAAAAGCACTATTATCAATATATCAGTCATCTGATTTCCTTTAATTAACAGTTCATTTGCTTTCTTCTGAATTCAGTCAATGAATTGAGACTATATGAAGGACAACTTAAGTGTCAGTAGGAATACATCAACTTTATTTGTCTTAACTCAATGCACGTTACCTCTTGGAGAAGTAATTTTAATCAGACGATGGCACGTATTGTAGGACCAAAGTTTGATATTCTACTTCTATAAGATCTAAGACAGTGTCCAGAAGGAGATCATACCCAGAGAATATAGAAGAATTATCATCGGTTTTAGTAGGAGTATGAGAGCGATGCAAGTAGGCTCGAAGAGGAGGACTGAATTGTGATATAGGAATTAGTAGTTTGTCTTATCCAGTATCCTAAAAAAGACACTAGGAAGAATAACGAAAGAAAGATTGAGAGAAGTGTTAAGTTTGATTATTCCCTCAAGTTTGTTTGGGCATTTATACTAAGTAGTGTACGTTGATTATTGCTTCGGTAATTTAGATGTTTTTGGCAAATTTACATCTCTTAATCTAGGTAAATCACAGCTATCAAATCATGTATGATCTTCAACAGAAAACACTGTTCCCAGTAAACCACTGTCAGTTGCATCACAGCATCAGTCCATTTACATTTATCCTCCTTTGTTTAAATTTCAGTCAGTAAGACATCTCTTGCCCTGCTGTAGTTTCCCTTTCCTTCTCTTAGGTGTAAAAACTATATGTCATCCTTCTTATCGTGCAGCATGAATTGTATGTACAGAAATCAGAAAACTATGCTTGGTTACCCTGTTCATTAGTACTTGCATAGTCTGAGATGCAGCATTGATGTAGCAGCGTTAAACCTGGATAATAGATAATGCACTGCAATCGAGTGTAAAACGTCTGAAGTGCTAGAACTGCATTCTATCGCTGGTGTTAACTCCTGTTAATTTCCATAAAGACTCAGAACTAATGGGTATCAACTAGTCACACAATAAGCATCTTAGATCAGGGATATCCATGAGGACTTTGTTGTGTGCATCTCTTACATGTGCTTTTGGAACATATACTACAACCTCAAGATGGTTTTCCAGGGGCTTCTCCTACCTTGTATATTCTCCTTTCATGCGTGAGGCATCCAACGTGCTAATGAGAACCAATAGTTCTGAGAAACAAGCATGGCCTACATAAAATGGACATAAAAAGTTCTCATCTTTTTGAATGGCAAATAGAATTCTGAGCTAGCCATGCATCTGTAGT